TTTTTACATTTGAGTTTTTATAAGGACTGTCTTATTACTTTTGATGTAATTTAAAATTGTTATTGCCCTCAAACTACCTTTCAAGTTAGTGTCAGAATTGCAGCTGAAGGTCACAATATTATTTCCGGACATCTTCTCCCAGCCAATCCTGCTCATCCCTTGCCTTCTCATGTCTTTTCTACTTCTGACACAGTCCGTCTCACTCATTATAGCTGTCCAACTGTGCTGGGCACATTGTTTTGAATGAAAGTGCATTCAAGTAGCTTCCTTTCCAAACAGTGAAAGGGGAAAAAATGCTGAACATGTCTCAGAAGGTTGGAATCTGGTCAAGAGAATCAAAGTTCCACAAGATTTTAATATATGCAAAACTCCCTCAAAATATAATATTTATTACTGAGATCTGAAAATGCCAAATTACATTTTCCCAAAGTGTGCCCTTATATTTGAAAATGGATTTCCCATAACCCCTTTGTATTTGCTTTCTGTAAATACATGAGAAATCAAGTGACTCTAATGAAAAATAAATTTTAAGCTGAGGAAAGAAAGTTCATGATTGCCCCCTATTTCCTCAGGGAAGAAGTAAAGGCAATTGATCAGCAGTATAGTTAGGATTTAAATTAAACAGCCTTACTACTCTATAGTATTCTGGGTGAATATAGCACTGCAGCCTTATATAAAATTATAATAGGAGTAGCAGAATTGCCATTAAAGACAAACAATAAACCTCCTTTAGAGCCCTCAGATTAACAGCAGTGCTCTCTTCTCTTACCACAGTCAATTGATTCTTCTTGATGATTACTTGATTCTGTTGCCTCACAACTTTGCACTTGTACCTGTCTTTTACAATGGCCTTTAAACCATTCATCTCACTGACATCAATAGGCAGAAATAAATTGAGTTATAGGTGCAATGAGGGATGCTACAAATGCAAATGACTCAGCAAATGTTCCATAAAATACCTCAAAAATATGTAAAATAAGAGATGTCGGTCTGTAGGTAGACAACATATTCAATCTAATTAAATACGAAAATTCTGCCAAGATGACAACAAAAACTCCAACTGTTATATCATCAGAATTTTACCAGACATCACAAGGTACTAATCAACAGAGACACAGTAGTTTAATAAGAGAATATGGAGTATCAAGAATCTCTTATCAGTATCTGTTAAAAGGATGGGAATTTAATTAGCAAATCATCAGTTTGGATAGCAAACTAAAGTAGTCTCCTTATCCAAACTTTACACATGCTCATTTAGGACTCATCAATGCAGAACTGGCAGACCCTGAGGGACATTGGAGTATTTGAAGGATTGCTCTAACTTATGCCACTACTATAAGGACATTAAAGGATCTTCTGCAGTGGAAAAGAGGCAAAACAGAAACCTGCTGCACTCCCACATGCCAACACCAGGACAGAATGTGTCCAGTGCAGGACACTCTTCCGTCAGCCTTATTCTAGTGGAAGTCGCCTTACACAAACAGAATGCTACCCAACTACAACCAGCAATTATAGACTACAACTAAGAATTTGGTCCAAAGAAAGAAAACATGGAAATGGCCCTGATAGCTCAGAGCAGAGGAACACCGTACTTGAATGTCCTAGAGCAGTGTTTCTCAACCTTTTTTTATAAAGTACCCCTTTAAAAACATTATAAACACTCCCAATACCTACAGTTTTCAGACACACACATTTCTTCTTCTACTATTGCAACACATTTGGTTAAACAACTTAATCGTAGCCAGGCAGGTGATGAAATGTTTGGGTGTAAAAGGTACAAAAATAATAAAGCACATAAAACTTAAAACAAAAATTCATTTTTCTCCAAATTTCAGTTGTGTTGACGTATCCCCCAGACTTCTCTCGAGTACCCCTAAGGGTACTCGTAACACTTGTTGAGAAACACTGTCCTAGAATAAATAACTGCAGAATTTACTCAGAATGGCAGGTGTAAATAACAGTGACTAAGATGTGCAGACTACCACTGATCATCTCCGTATCTTAGGGTGCCTGGGGTGCCCAAGTTAATGTGCTGCCATGTAAACATGCTAATTCTATATGCAGGCAAATAGATAACTGACAAGCTACTGAGTCCCAAATCACATGCAGTTTTACACCCGATTTAAAAAAAATCAGAATATAGATTGTAAAAACTTGATAGCATCCTGAAGGACTGAAGGGTCCAGAAACTTTGATAACAAAACCATAATAAAAGTTCTGTGCCCATACCATCTGGTCCCATACAGGGTACCCACTGGTGCATATTTTGTAGAAGTTGAAGTCTGTTTATGCAAGGAGATCAGCAAAAAGGACATTTTAAACAGAAATCTAAATTAGATTAGCAATATTCTGAACAAGGACATTCTACTCCACAAGACAGCTATAAAAAAAAGCCCTCCGAGAACACTTCTATTCCTATACCTTTACCCTGTCTGGAGTAATGCATAGTTCAGCCTCATATTCACACAATTCATACACACAGATTCTCACATGACAATAAGCAAGTAAAATGAAACAATAGACAAGTAGGATGACTATCCAGACACAAAGGTGGGTAAAGGCCAATATGTACTATCAAGTGTTTTGTTATTATTAAGCATCATAAGACATCCATAATCATAATATACAGCACCACTGGAAGTAAGGATCAAGAATAGTAAACAGTCATAAAATGCAATGGCTTTATGTTATTCTTGGACTATTGATTAAACCATCCAGATAGATTGGAAGGGTTTATTTCAGAAGAAGTCATGTTTTTGATGTTGGATTACAGCTGTGTAAAATCCAGTTGCTTTTATTGGCAGAGGTTTGTGCAGCAAAAAAAAAAAAAAAAAAAAAAAAATGGAATTGTATGAAGAGAAATCAATTTCTGAAAATGCTAGATACTGTTTCATATGGTTTTACCCTAAGTCAAGCTTCAGGCAAAATTGATGGCAACCTGGTGAAATTTTAAGGATTCAAACATTATTTCACGGAACAGCTTGTGAAATCTACTTCTAGAGCAAACAGATGACTATTCAAAATGCAGGGCAAAAGTATTCTGACAGCCCCCAGGGAATCAGGGAGAAGCTGTCTTTAAACCAGACTTTGGGGCAACTGTAGCAAGGGAGCAAGCAGGTGGAGCAATAAGGCACTTCTTATTGTTAATTGGTGCCAGAACATGAACCAGAAAGTTCCTTCTCCATTCACTGCACTACATCCAGAGCACTACTGACTCTGATCATTTAACACTATTATATTTAGTTTGACCTCTAAACAGGTAACACCCTTCTCTAATTATGTAATTTGTAGCAAAAAATTTTACTCGACTCTATTTTATGACTTAGTGAGCTGAAAAGAACTCGCAAAAATATTTCCATAGATCAAATAAAATGTGGGTGTCCTGATATATCCACATGAGCAATACTTTCATTTACAAATACAACACATTTATAAATACAACATGTGATTCATCCACATGAAGAAATACTTTCATTTTAAAAATACAATACATTTTCCCTATTTTTTACACTTCCTCAGAGCTCCCTTTTTAAATTATTAATTATGTACAGCATGACTATTCAGATAGCACATTGTGTCTTGGTTAATTGGAACTTCAGACAGGTAAACCATGAAAAGTTGCTGTTTCCTCCCTGTTCCATCATGCTAACCTGCTACTTTTGATAGCACAGAAATATTGGTGAAGATCAAAGTATGTGTCCCTTTCCCCTCAAACTGCAAATGTACATCTATGAAATTCTCAGAGCATTACTAGCTATATGTGATATCTGACTTATGCCTGATCATGTTCTAGAAACTGACATATGGGTCATTTGAGTTTGAAAGAAACCTTGGCTATCCTAGCTCTCCAGGGCAAAGATCAGGTACATTGCTGGGCACATCGTTAATGGGAAAATGCATCACATTAGAAAATGTGTTGACTAACATAGCTTAACTAAAACAGCCCACAACACTACCTTTAGCATGTACAAAGACAGACATGTTTAGAAGTATATTATCTGGTTAGAGTTAACCATTGGATCCCTGCTTTTCAAATTTAGCCCTTTTTATCCACGCAAAGGGTACGTCTAGACTACCACGTTTTGTCGACGGAAGTTTTGTCGACAGATACTGTCGACAAAACTTCCGTCGACAAAGAGCGTCCAGACACATGGAGTTCTGTCGACAAAGCAAGCCGCTTTGTCGACAGAACTCCGTAGTCTGGACGCAGTGTTACAGGCAATAACACCTTCTGTCGACAGAACTCTGTCGACAGAAGGTGTTTTGCCTCGTAAAATGAGGTATACCAGCGTCGACAAAACCGCGGAGTTCTGTCGACGTTATGTCGACAGAACTCCACGGTAGTGTAGACGCTGGTATTGTTTTGTCAACAAAAGTCCACTTTTGTCAACAAAACTAGGTAGTCTAGACACACACTAAGTTAAAAATTATGTCTATTACCATATTAGTTCAAATAAGTTAGTTTTTGCAGTATAAACATACCCATTGATGGACTTAGGACCCATTAGGAGGCAGAGGGATGAATGAGCATGAGAGTTTCCCATCTCCATACTGAGAGATCGGATGTGATAGCAGTCACTGAAATGGCTATGCTGTCTGCCCTTTGGAAAGGAGGAAAAAATGCTGCTTTGCTAATGGAGCAAAGAATAAAAAGATAGAAAACCCAATAGCCAATAAAAAGGAAAGATATAGCATAACCATACCCTAATGCTTGAGGAATGTCCTAAAGTATAATAATAAATGATTGCATAGCACAACTAGTCAAAACAAAACGAGACAGAAGACACTAAAAATTAGGTGAGAAAAAATGATAAAAGAAAATACCATTTTCATATGGTCCACCTCTCATTCAAAGCAAAAAATAAAGTATTTTATTAATCTACAATAAAAATGTTGTTACATTTGGGACTTAAATCCAAAGGACAAAACTCTTTCTTTTTGAACTCACTGTGGTTGTTCTGATACTTTAAATAAACCCCAAACACTGAAAAGCTGCTTACCTGATGAGACGTCTATTCGGTTCTTCTTCACTTGGGTGACATTGATGTGGACATTGACTTTGCCTTCAGCCAGGTTAATCTCGACATTACCCAGTCCATCAGCAAAGTTGCTGAAAAGGAGAAGTCCATTGGGGTTCCAGGTCCGAAACTGGAAACTGACTGAAAGCATATCCTGATTCAGGCGACCAAGCACTTCCAGGTAACTGGTAGCATTGAAAAAGACAGGCACTGTATGCGGTTCCACACAAGAAAAACTTAAGTTTCCCTAAAACAAAAACAAAAAGCAAAAGAAACCAAACTGTATTACAATGATAAAACTCCTCTGCAGCCACAAATATTGCTAACAATGTGTGGTTTCTGAGTATGAGCTTCATTCTATTTGTGAAGTTCATATGTTAAGACTTTTGCATGTCAAATTGCATGGGAGGCAAGTTATGATTATTAGGTGACCACATATATTTAGATATAAAGATTACTGTCCAGGGATAAATTATGTACAACGACCTAGCTGTGCAAGTCTTTGTGTGTCATTTCTAACTCCCAGAGGGTAAAAAATGATTTTTTTAAGAAAAATAAATCCTAAAATATTCTCTTTTTCATAGCAGACAGCCACCATTCATAGGAGAAGCATGATTCCCTTCACATACATATGTCTTACGTGGTAGTACATAGTGTTTCCATGCAGATATTAATTTAAAAGTAAGCAGCTTCTATGGCATTATATTATTCAAACTGGAACAATATAGTTTTATAGATGCATGGCCAGGTATCTTTCCTCTAGAGGGCACTATAATCAGCAACTTTACTATTTATCTAATATCAGCATAGAAATCCTAAATATGTATTACATCCTTACTCTAAGAAAATAAGTTTTTATTCTGAATGTGTTAAAGATGTGTGTCTCTCTTTATTGTTACAGTGTTCTTTTAATATACACCTGGAATGTATAATATATCACGCAAGATTATATACAAGAGTTTAGCGACTTCACTATTTTCAAAGAGTTATTGAAACTTTTAATTCACAACATGAAAAACATGATAATAACCTAACTGAGAAAGGACAAGAACCATTTTCACATCTTTACTCTAAGTCCCACTGGGCTTACCTTTAGTTTTCCACCTAAAGGCTTTAATTGACTGAAAATGTACGCAACTTAGTTCACCCACTAGCTTGAACATCCCCAAATATTTGTTACAGACTCCACTCGGTTGAGTCCTAGACTAAATCACAAATTTTGCATCCCAAAACAAAAATTCAGCAAGTATGCAGATTCGCCTTTGTGAACATGTTTATTACTTTGACTGCCAATGAACTGGAAGTAACTACTCCTTTGTAGACAAGTCAGTACTGCATAGACACAGAGCACCAAAGATTTTCTGAAGAGATGGAATTTAATATTGACATACCAGGTACACAGGGTGGTATTCTAAGTGCTTTGCCATAGTAACTATTGAGCTAAACAGCAGTCCAAGGCCCGTGTTGTTATGCATTTAAGAGTTCATGCTGCTTTATTACTGTGAAGAACTGAGATTTTTTTCAGGACAAAAATGCTTCAGCTTTCACGACTGACTGACATTCTGTCTTGAACCTTTAAATCTTTCTTGCCTCTAATGCATGGGAGAGCTGCATATGTAACTCCCACTGTTGCTAATGGGAGTGAATGCATGCAAATCCCTTACACAGGAATGAGATAACATATTCCTTAATGCTAACTGTGTAATGGATTTTTTGTGGAAGAAGCATATAATTGTAGGTTATAACTCCCTTCATGTTTTTTTGCCAGTTAGCCAACTTGATCTTTTCCCTACTGAGATATTCAACTTAATTTAAACTGGAATATTATTTCTCTCCATGACTGTGCATCATCAGGAAACCACTCTTTTATGTAAAGCCTAGTTCACACAGATTATCTACTGGGCCTGGGCAAAGAGTTAGAACTCATCTGAAGTTTGTCACTATAAAAAGATTCATATTTTTCAAAGAGGAATGGATCTTTTTTGATAGACTGGCTTCAGAATCAATTGCAGAAGCACTCATCCAACACTGAAGTCTGAAAATCAAATATATACTGTGCATTTATGTTGACACTTTTGTTCTTATTGAAAAAATATTAACAATATGCTAGAAAACTAACAGTGGAGCTTCTCAAGTTAGACTGCTTAGGCTTTGCATTATAATCTTTATGCTACATTGTAAATTAGCTTGCAGTTTACATTAATAAGTCAATTTTTCCTACTCAGTTCCAGGCATCACCTCTGCTGGGAAAAGCATTGCTTTTTAAAACCTTTTCCCAATTAACAAAGCAACAAACTGAATACAGAGTTATCAAAAGAGAGGTAATGCAGAACAAGTTGTTTTCCAAGGCTATATTCCCCTGCTAATGTTTTATCAAGCATTGGTTCATTATTTTTCTAAAAATAGATTTTTACTTATCTTTAGGCTTAGCACAATTTTAATAAAAATTACTTCCTTCCTCTTTAGCTTGTGCATTTAGACTGAACCCAGCAGAACAGCAGCAGATGATGTATAAGAGGAACCTGCTGCATTGGTGTGCCAGAGACAGGGGGAAAATGGGGTTCAGCCATGGAGATACCTCCCATCAACACCTTCCAGGCCCAGACTTGTGCAAGAGAGACCCCACATGTGGGCATTAGCATCAATGCAGCATATTTACTCTCTGCCTTACATTGTGGCCTTGGGTAAAGAAACTGAAAGGAGGAGCCAGGCAGAAATTGAAGCCAGAGGAGCAGAGGTGGAAGTAGTTTAAAGGGGACTGAAGGACATGGATATTTCCTATTATTTTGACTTGATCTTCTTTGACCTGTGCTGATTGGCTGATTTTCTTTGACCTTGTCACCTCTTTCTCAGTCTCTTCATCTCAGCCTCAGTCCACACCTGCCCTTCATACTTTCTCCACTTCTTTTCATCATTCCTCTTCCATTCCTTTGTCTATCTATTTAGCCAATTCCTCTGCTCACTTCCTTCCCCACCCCAACAGAAGAACCAACATAAAACTTACTGTTACAACATTGATTAGAGCTGGTTGGGAATTTTCCAACAAAATGGATTTTTGTAAGAAAATGCTGATTTTTTGATGTACCAGTAAAATGAAGCTTCTATTGTGAAGGTGTCTTGGGTCCACGGTGTCATTTTTGGTCAGAGAGAGTTCAACCCCTGAACAGCCAATAACTTGGTGTCTAAGACACACATCTGGCAAGTGGTACACCCAGGCTCAAGTCCCTGCTCTGCCTGATTAGGGATGGTGTTTGAACCTGGTTTGCTAATGTTATGGCTCTAATCTCCATCTAATAGAATCAGTCTCTGCCCAAATCACCATCACAGCTGTTCCTTTTTAAAGTAAATAATTCGATATTTTGGGGCTAGAGAGAGTCAGACTCAGTAAATCCAGTGGCTAGAGCACTTGTGGGAATTTTCCATTCAAGTCCGTGCTCTAATAAATCTTGAATTATTTCTATGAAGTATAACAACTTCACCAGCAGAGCTTGAGAAGGACTTGTTGCAGAATTGTGTGGTGACCATGGCACTCATCTGGGACCACCTGGCTTTTGGATATTTTGAGATGGTGTTCTTTCTCTCTCTTTGAAAAAGAGCTTCGAAGGTCTTAGGGTCATCCTGATACAGAATAGGAAAAATTTTGAAATCTAAAAAGTTTAAATGCGACAGGAAAACAATGTCCCGCCCAACTCTGAACTTTTTGCTTATCTCTCTTTCACCTCTCCTTTTGTCTATCTTGTCTCCTTATATAATAAGATTGTCAGAGATGGGGCTCTCTAGTACTGTGTGTTTATATAGCACCTATTACAATGTGACCTCAATCTTAGGTAATTCCTAGACACCACTGGAATGAACATAGTTAACAATAATATCAACAACAAAGCACAATTTTCATGCTAAATCAGGCTGAGGGCTAAGTGCAAAACAGATTTTGCAAGAAACATAAAAATCCATGTTTGTTTAATTAGAACAAAATCGATTTTGTTTTCACAGAGGTGAGCCAGTGTAAGTAATTCTACTGAAAACAAAGGTCACTTCTATTTTTATAGTCATTCTTAGAATTGGAAATCAACAGACTCATCGAATTAAACCAGGCTGCAATAAACTCTTGATGAAGCACTGGTGTGTAGCAACACTACATATGTGGATCTAACTGTAATGTTAAGAGTAATAGAATTTCATACAAAAAGAGGGAGGGGGGACGGATTCTCATCTATTATTGTCCCTATAGTTTTGTACACCCATAAGTTACAGGACTGTTACTGGGTGTTCAGCACTTCTAACAATAGGGCAACTTATCTGAGTACCCAATTAAGGAAAGCACTTGAGTAACATACTTAATTGTGCTCCTATTCACAAAAGCACTTAAGCATGGACTTAAATCTCATTGACTTTAATTGGATTTAAGCACACATATAAATACCCTTCCTTAACAGGAATGCTTTTCTGAATCCAAATCTGGCAAGATTTCTGATACAGTTTGTGTGGCAGAAAACAGAAAATCTTCTTTTCCCAGTAACTCAATATTATATAATGGATTTCACCCTGCAGAACAGGTGATACCAGGCAGAACAGGTATTTTAAAACTCATACACTGAAAGAGTTTCACTCTTGGCACATACATCCTGCTTAATGTCTTTGACATGTTTGAAGAAACATGGTATAGAAATAACAATATTTACTATTTATTAAATACTATTACTGTTAAAGTTTATCATTTTTCAAAGTTTTTAAGATATGAATCAGAGAATTCAAAATTTTCATTCCTGCAGTCATGATCAGTCAGCCATATTTCTCAGTTTATATTAGAGCATTAATATTAATGCCATATATAGTAAGTAAAAATTAAGTAGGAATTTTGTACAGTTTATCACCACAACATATATATGTGTAAAATACATAATGATGTGAGGTTATATAAAGATATTATCAGCATGTGTTTGTGATGATTGTAATGTGCATGAAGGGGGAAGCCATGAATGACTTAGGCAAGTCTTCCTGGACTCATGATGGTAAACATTTATTCTGCACTATAACACTATATATTTCATATGTGCCACATATATTACAGAACAGCTATCTTGGGATTTTTTTAGAGAGTTAAAATATGAATAGGACTAATTCTTGGATTCCTTTTCCAGCAAATTCACAGGATTTTATTATAATGAGTACCACTGTGGAGGTCATAGAAGGGGTACAAGATGAAATTAAGAAAATGTAAACTACCTCCAAGATAGCTTTTCTATGTATAAAAAAATCATGATTTTGAAGTCTGATATTTTGGGACATTCTGAGGTTAAAGGCCAATTCTGAGTTAAGTGTAGAATCTCTTCTTTCCAATGGTGTCACAACTACTAACCCTGTGGAGACATGAGATCTTAGACTTTAAAGCCATAACACATTTACATGTAGGAAAGTTATCACTGGATTAGAAATGAATGTAATCCCCTAGGCAGGCATAATTGAAGAAGAAAAGGAGTATTCTATTATTTTTTAAGTGGTGGCTGTCTGACGCTACACAATGTTGGTATAAGACTCACAAGATAGCTCAGGAGTAAAACAAGGTGCTCATAAGTACGTGCTAAACTGTGCAGGTATGTGAGAAAAGTTATATCATGTTACTGCAATATATCACATAGATGCATACAAAGGCATATCCATGCTCCTTTACTTGTCAGAAGTTTAGATGATCATGAAAAAGTTCTCACCACATTAGATGGTTCCAGCTTCTTCCTCTTGGCAAGGTCTGTGATATTATTACCATTGTAATTGATGCTTTCCATACAGCCTTTGAAGTTTTTCCTACTATTTGAACTTGGCTTCCCAGAAAAAGGCATGCCACCAAAGGTTATCTTTGAAAACAAACAAAAGACTGTAGATAGTAACTGGAGGGAAATGTATTAGATTTTTTAAACAAATATGCTGTAGATGTATTTGCTTTCCCGAGCATTCATACACATCAAATGAGATAGTTGGCACTACTCTCTACCCAAAGAGAAAATTTAAATAAGCACTGGAAATAAATGGAAGAAAGCTCATTTTGATGTTGTAATTGCAAATATTCACTTTGGAGACCAACATTCATCCCTATATGGAACAGAAGCATACCATGTGACCTTTCAGCTCATTCTATAGAGCTCACAATGGCTCTCTCTCTCTCAAACGCTATTGAACAAGAAATACGTTCAATGAATGAATGAATTGAAAGAACTTATATCCATCACAGAAACATTCTAAACAAGGTGAGGGAGACAGTAAAATTATATATTGAAACACTCTAATATGACCGTCTCTGGTCTGGCAACATTAGTGGTCTGGCATGACTTTAAGTAGTTGGATGCCCACTTATCATGGATGTGGCCAAGTTTCCTGCAGTTCCATTAAGTTTATTTACAGCCACCAGTCCTAACTATCAGTATTCTGCGCTTTAATAACAATGGGTGTGTCTAGACTACATGGCTCCGTTGACGGAGCCATATAAAATAGTTTACTCGACATAGTCAATGAAGCGGGGATTTAAATAATCCCCACTTCATTAAAATAAAAATGGCCACCACGCTGCGCCGACAACCAGCTGATCTGGCACAGCGCGGCATTCTAGATGTGGTACGATCAACAAGGGAAGACTTTGTCAACACTCCTGTAAACCTCATTTCACGAGGCTAATTATTACCAATTATTACAAGGGAAGACTTTGTCGACCGCTCCTGTAAACCTCGTTTCATGAGGCTTACAGGAGCAGTTGACAAAGGCTTCCCTTGTCGACTGTGCTGCATCTAGACTGCCGCGCTGTGCTGGATCAGCTGATTGTTGGCACAGCGCGATGGCCATTTTTATTTTAATGAAGCGGTGATTATTTAAATCCCCACTTCTTTGACTATGTTGAGTAAACTACTTTACATGGCTCACCCAATGAGTGGTCCTGTGGTACCTTAGACACTAACCAAAATACATAGAATCATGAGCTTTTGTGGGCAAAACCCATTGTTATGTAGCTCTAATTTACCCACAGATAAAAGTCCAGTAAGCAGTGGAAGTGTTGGTGATGCTGCTACACAATATTGACCTCCCATGGTTTGGCAAATTCTCTGGTTCGGCACCAGTTGGGTTCCAACTGTGTTCATTAGACAGGTTTAACATGTATTTATTTGAAATCATTCACTCACCTCTATTGCTGGTTCATTTGAATAAATCAAATAAACCTAAACACAAACAGCACACGATCCTAATGACTACTTATTGAGAAAAAGATCTGGTAAGAAGAGGGATTAGGACAGTTTTGTACTGGTTTACTGGGATACTTGAAGGAAGTTCAAAGGTGGATCTTCTGGATTTTTATTTTTTTTTGTCTCTCTGGGTCCCAGAGATAGGGAGAAAGGCAATAATGAAGAACATCTGAGTTTTCTATCTCTCTGGGTCCCATAACTGGGGATAGGTGAAAATTTCAACCAGCTTTAACATATGTAACCCTGCTGATTTGCATCTTGTTGCCTGGTGTAACAGAGTAATATTGCAGAATGTTTGTTTATTGTTTGTTTATATGATTAATTTCTTCCACAAGGTCACACAGCTAGTCAATATCTGAGCTTGCAGAACAACACAAGAGCATTATGCAGTTCATTCTGTTGTCCGCCATTGGGGAGAATTACCTTGCACTAGTGACAAACTGCCCGCCTTTCTTTGGACAGCTCAGAGTAGGGGGAGATATAAGAGAGGAGTTTCTGTGATACCAGATTTAATACTGTGAACCAGCTGCTGAGAATTAAGGTGAGGGTGAAAACTCCGGGAAGAGGGAGTACCACATTTCTGTAATTAGGTCATGCATATAGTGGGTTTGTTCGAGGTTTTTTACATTGTATTTCATAGCCTAGAAAATCAACTTATTGCAGCATGTTACAAATGTTCATCTCTTCACTCTGTCAATCAATAGGCTATATAGATTACTAGCTAATTATAGGTCTTGCCAAAATGGTTGGAAGTGAATGAATGCTACATGTTTACATTAATACTTTACAACCTGAAGGTGAGAAAAAGGCTGCCAGAGATTGCTGTCTGCAGTCTTTCCTTGGTATTTATATTAAGCAGCCAATAATGTATGTGTGTATATGTATGTGTGTGTGTGTGTATGTATGTGTGTGTACACACCAAAAATGGAGCCAATAAAATACCAATGTATACTCCTTCCCAATTTTGCTCAAACAAAATTCTTACACACTGCCTGACATTCTTACATTCTGCTTTTGCCAGAAATAAGCTTTCAAATATAATTCATTGTCAATTCCACTGGTTATTATTGAGAGAATTAAAAGGGAACACAAGAGGAACATTATTTTTTTTAGAATACTTTCAACATATCATTTTCCATCTGAAAGAGGAGAAGATCCTTGAGTCAGTATTTAAAAGAAGAACTAAAGCCCATTGGATGCACTGCATTTGGAAATCAAAGGTTTTAAAAATTGCCCGCACAGGCTCCTTCATCTAGTTGTGTGGCATTGTCCTTGACTGATGACTAAGCTCTGTTGACTTCAATGAGAGGACAGCAGTTTTCACCAACTAGGGATCAGATCTTTGCTGCAACACATTCTTTGGTAAGCAAGTGTTTATGCACTTGAAAAAAGGCAGTGAATTGGAAAAGGAAAAGATTGTGAAGAAAAGTGAAGGAAAAAGGAGACAACCACATACCATAACAAACATTAAGTCCAGAGGGACTGATAGGATTTTTTTCGCATTAAAAGTGTAATCAGAAATAGTGCCAATTTCTCTCACTTGGTAATCTCTTCTGAAAGAGATAAACCTAAAACCATAATTTCTCTATTTGAAATGTAAGTTTGATTCTCTAAGCTCTCTCATCTATGATTAGTTTATTGTAAGGGCAGCATATTTGAATGTAGGGTATGACAACCAGGCACTAAAAAGACAATGTTAATTGAGAGGAAAGGAGATAGACAGTTCAGGGCTAGCCATTGACATTTATATGAACTGCTGAAACAAATTCAGAGCATATTCTCCCTTTGATGTATTTGTGTAACCTCCATCACAGATGAGGAGCTTCTTACATACATTGAAAGTGGAAAATAACTGAAGAGGATTTCTACTGGGGAACTATGCCCTACTCGTTAGAGAGGACAGAGAATCAAGCCTCAGATCTACATGGTAATTAAACACCCATAGCTGGCTTGTGCCAGATGATTTGGGCTTATGGGTCTCAGGCTCCAGGGTTGTTTAATTGTGATGCAGATGTTCAGGCTCAGGGTGGACCCATGTTTTCAGACCCTCCACTCTGTCAAGGTCCCACTAGGCCAATTCCAGTTTGAGCCTGAATGTCTACACAGCAATTAAACATCAGCCACAGTCAGCTAACACAGGACAACCACATTAGAGTCTATTCCTGTTTTTGGGAGCAAGTGTATTTTAGTTGCAGATCAAGGCACTGCGGGTCAGAGTTATTCCCATCTGGCAATTCATTTAACCTGTGCTTTCAGTTTACCTGTGTGAAAGATAATTTTAATAATACCTGCCTCTTCAGGTTGTTGTGAGGTGTAATTCAAAGGTTTAATAGTATTAAAGTCTTAATGGTAAGCATAAGAGCTGGACAAGTACTGAAAAAAGGCATTTGTGAACATTCATTTGAAGGACGCCACCAATTTACTTCAATGGTATTTGCAACCCTTTTAAGCAATTTCTCCAAATGTTCACATGAATATATTTCACTCAACAGAAATTTCATAAAAAGATCCTCTCAGAAATATTTATTCAAATATAGGTTCAAGCAAGGTTCATGACTGAAGTAGTAGGAGAAAGTAGTTTGAGACATTGAGGCTAATGGCAATTGGGACAAATTACACCATGCTTTTACAAAAGGTAGATCATGCCAAACCAACCTGATCTCCTTTTTTGAGAAAGTAACAGATTTTTTAGATAAGGGAAATGCAGTGGATCTAATGTACCTCGACCTTAGTAAGGCATTTGATACAGTACCACATGGGGAATTATTGGTTAAATTGGAAAAGATAGGGATTAATATGAAAGTTGAGAGGTGGATAAGCAACTGGTTAAAGGGGAGACTACAGCGGGTCATACTGAAAGGTGAACTGTCAGGTTGGAGGAAGGTTACTAGCGGAGTTCCTCAGGGATCAGTTTTGGGGCCAATTTTATTTAATCTTTTTATCGCTGACTTTGGCACCAAAAGTGGAAGTGTCCTAATAAAATTTGCAGATGACACAAAGTAGGGAGCTATTGCCAATTCAGAAAAGGATCGGGATATCATACAGGAAGATCTGGATGATCTTGTAAATTGGAGTGATAGCAACAGGATGAAATTTAATAGTGAGAAGTGTAAGGTTATGCATTTAGGGATTAATAACAAGAATTTTAGTTATAAGCTGGGGACACATCAGTTGGAAGTAACGGAGGAGGAAAAGGACCTCGGAGTCCTGGTTGATTATAAAATGACTATGAGCCGCCATTGTGACACGGCTGTGAAAAAGGCTAATACGATCTTGGGATGTATTAGGCGAGGTATTTCCAGTAGGGATAAGGAGGTGTTAGTGCCATTATACAAGGCATTGGTGAGACCCCATTTGGAATACTGTGTGCAGTTCTGGTCTCCCATGTTTAAGAAGGATGAATTCAAACTGGAACAGGTACAAAGAAGGGCCACTAGGATGATCCGAGGAATGGAAAACCTGTCTTATGAAAGGAGACTCAAGGAGCTTGGCTTGTTTACCTTAACCAAAAGAAGGCTGAGGGGGGACATGATTGCACTTTTTAAATATATTAGAGGGATAAATACCAGGGAGGGAGAGGAATTATTTAAGATTAATACCAATGTGGACACAAGAACAAATGGATA